CTTGGCAGCTCCCATTACCCTTCCTCATACTCTGTTGGATGATCTGCTTTGGTGGTTGGACAAAGCCTATATGTTGGCAGGGAATCTTGCTTACTCCTTTTTGTCTGGATTTACATCTGTTCATGGATGCATTCCTTAAGGGCTGGGTTGAAATGGGTCAATCACCAGAAGGCTTTGGGTTGTTGGTTTCTCAGGCTTTGAATCACTTCCTTCCTCTTGCCAGACATAATCTGGTTATGATTCATTCCAACAATTCTACGGTGTTAGCACATACCAATCACCAAGAGGGCACCTGGTCACAATCTCTCTTTCTTCATACATTGGATCTCCTGTATTGGGCCCACATGCACCACATTTATTTTATTGTATGTCATGTTCTTGGTGCTTTTAAATTCATAGTAGATTGTCTTTCCCACCCCAACAAAATGTATCCATTGGAGTGGTCTTTAGATCCTCATGTATTCAAGTGGCTTTGCAGTCTGTGGGATTTTCCATATGTAGATGCATTTTCCACAGCCCCCGACCACAAAATACCCTTCTTTTGGTCTCCTGTACCTCATCCTTGGGCTCTGGTGGTCAATGCCTTCAGCCAGGAATGGTCCCACAAATTCCTTTATGTTTATCCTCCTATCTGATTACTTCAGTGCGTGGTATCTCTCATCCATACCACTCCATGCTGATGCCTTTTAAATGCTCCCTATTGGCCAGTTCAACTGTGGTTTCCACGATCACACCAACTACAACTTTCCCTCCAGTACCCCCTCCCTTATCTCACTCCCTTCTTAATCAACCTTGGTCACCATTTTCCATTCTGCTTTAATCTGGTCCTTGGCAAGGAGATCAGGTTTCTATGGTCAAGTAGCTTTCCTTTTGGCTCATTCAATACGTCTTTCTTCAATTGAGGTGTATCAGCATAAATAGAAGGTGTTCCACAGTTGGTCCGCTACTTGGGGATTCCCCATTGACCGATCTACTGTGGCTCATGTGGCCGAGTTTCTCACTTTTCAACCAGAGATCTTCAGTCTCTTTGATATTTCGTTATTGGGCTGCCTTATCCCATACCTTTCCGTTTTCCAGATACCGTTGAGTTTTTGCTTCTCCTGTCCTTACCATGTTAATGCATTCCTTCCTGATTCGTTATCCCGCCCCCCCAAGATGGCCTAGGCTTCTGGACTGGGATACTAATATGGTCCTCCATTCCTTCTCTTCACCTCTGTGTGAACCAATTTCCTCATTCTCCACGTTTTCCTTTAAAACATATTTTCTTCTCCTCTTTGAAGGACTGATTTGTTTGCCATTGACGTTTCATGTACCACCACACCTATCTTCTTTATCTAGATAATTCTTTCCCCCAAAGACCTTGGTGGCTAGGGAGGGTAACTCCTCCTTTTAAGCTATTTCCCTTTCTTCTGTTTCTCATATCTACCCTTGTCCTGATCTGGATAGATTTCTATGTCTAGTCTGTCCCCTTTGTTGCTATACTGCCCAAATGGCTTCCTTCCCTGGTACCCATTCCTGTTTCTTTATCCCTTGGTAGTCACCTCTGTTCATTATCTGTACCCTTCTATCCTCACCAGTTGGGTTCAACATTTGATTCAATTGTCTTATTCCTCCATGTCTTCTTCCCACCAGAATTTGTTCAGGGTGTTTTCTCATCAGATTTGACACCTCACCTTTTCCCTCGCATCTCGTTTTCATCGTTTTGAGATAGGGTAGAGAAAATAACAGATAAACTATATAGTTTTACTAAAAAAAAACGTTTGAAATGCATTTAGGAGGTTTTAGGGATTACAAAGGAAATTTGATATTTTTGAGATGACGAAAAATATTTTTTAATTTTAACATGAAAATTACTTTGCACATGGAGTATTAAAAACAAATACTCAATATATTCATGGGAATTTTTTTATATTATTATATTAAAAATACTTACTAAGAAATATTACTTTTTGTATGTGTAATATTAACTGAAAGACTGCCAAATTTCGTGAAGATATACCCAATATATTGAGAGTTATAAGTATTATAAGTACAAAAGGTCATGACTTAGCCAAATTGACTGACCCATAGTGAGAGGGTTAATAGACATCCTTTTGATACCAGATGTCGGGTCTCTGGATCAATATCTCAAAGTTACCACATGTGTCATGTTCTGGAGTCAGAGTGGTTTTAGATACCCTCCGGTCTGTTGAACTTGAGGTGAAGATGGTATGATCCTCATCCTACCCCCGCATGGATGTCCATTCCCAGTGGCACAGGTTTTGGATGTAATTGACTTACTGAGTATAGTCCATCATGCTCTAGTCACTCTACACCTAGGGGGCCATCCATCGAGTTACCCACTTTCATACTTTGTGGGATTAAGTTACATATATATTTCAGGGTTAGGATCACTATACTGCCTCAGTTCTCTTCCATTTGGATGTGCTCCTCTTTTTCCGCCCTTACCTACTACACATTTCAAGGATGGGCAAAGAGTATACTTGGTCAGAATTAATGCAGTTCCCCATATCAGATCTTCAGATCTGACTCTCACATTTCCAGGGATGCTTTCGGGGGTACTTCTGTCATTCCCATGCACTGGTCCCTTCACCTAATCAATGTGGGATTCTAATTAATCTGGGGAGTGAAGGGAAGTATCATATCGGAAGTTATAATTTTCCTATACTGAAAATGCATTTCCGATAGGTACTTCCCTCCTCTAACACTTCCCATTCTTCCTCCCCACTCTGGTGCTTATGTCTTCTGCCAAAATTCGAACTGATAATTCAGTAGAGGCATATAGAGTATATCATGTGAGTATATCACACTCCTGTTAGTGAAGAAGTGATGCATGATGATTTGCATGAGAGACATGTTTGAATCATTTGATTCCAATAGGGGGAGCAGAAGGCTTGTGGCATGCATAAAGGAAAAAGTTCACATATACAGGGCAGCACTCGACAAGAATAGCTAATTTTGTGAGTAGAGGGAAGTACCTACCAGAAATACATTTTCAGTATATGAAAATGATAAATTATGCCTTTTTCCTTATAGAATGACTGCAGATTATGTGAAAACACAATGTTTATACTAAATAGCTTAAATCTTGTGACGTTATACATTGTTTATTATTTTTATTATATTGACCTTTCAGCCATGCTTGGCTAACAATACAGAAGTTACAATGACGTGACACATGTGAACTCATCTTACTGTATCCAATAATATAAAACTGATCTTTAGTCTTTACAAAGTGACCTGTCTTGGCTGTGTTTTAGTGGACTACTATTTTGTAACATACAGTCACATTGCAATTAATATACGTAATATATGTATATACATTATTACTATTTACAAATAAGTTCTTAAAACATAGAACAGTTAGTAAGTAAGTATTAGAGTTCACTGATGGAATAGTTTAGAGTAGTAATGCTGATTCAGTAAAACTGAAAGTATTGGAGTCCATTGATGGAATAGTTTAGTGGTGTAATGTTGATTTATTAACACAGAAGGTATTGGAGTCCACTGATGGAATAGTTTAGTGGTGTAATGTTGATTTATTAACACAGAAGGTATTGGAGTCCACTGATAGACTAATTTAGTAGTGTGATGCTGATTCTGTAAAGCTGAAGGTATTGGAGTTCTTTGATGGAGTAGTTTAGAAGTCTAATGATGATTCAGTAAAGTTGAAAGTATTGGATTCCATGGGTGCAATAGTTTAGTAGTGTAATGCTGAAGGTATAGGTGTACATTGATTGAACAGTTCAGAGGTGTAATGCTGATTCAGTAAAGCTGGAGGTGTTGGTATTTATTGAAGGACTGGTTTAGTGGTGTAATGCTGATATAGTGAAGCTGAAGGTATTGGTGTCCATTGATGAAATAGTTTAGTGATGTAATAATGCTGATTCATTAAAACTAAAGGTATTGGATTTCAATGATTGAATAGTTTAATGATGTAATGCTAATTTAGTAAAGTGGATGGTGTTGGTGTTTATTGAAGGACTGGTTTAGTGGTATAATGCTTATATATTGAAGCCAAAGGTATTGGTGTTCACTGATGGAATAGAATAGTGATGTAATGCTAATTTAGTAAAGTGGATAGTGTTGTTGTATATTAAAGGACTGGTTTAGTGGCATAATGCTTATATATTGAAGCCAAAGGTATTGGTGTTCACTGATGGAATAGAATAGTGATGTAATACTAATTCATTAAAGCTGATGGTGTTGTATATTGAAGGACTAGTTTAGTGGCATAATGCTTATATAATGAAACCAAAGTTATTGGTGTCCAATGGTGAATAGTTTAATGGTGTAATGGTAATTCTCTATATATAGCCGAAAATATTGGACACCATTGATAGTGTTATGCTGATGTAAATGTTTCATGAGAGTTTGGATCAATATGCTTTGTGACTTTTATGATATCTCTATGATAGGAAATAGACATGAATGTTTTTGTAATTTTACAGATGAGCTTTGTAGAATGATCATATCTATAGCTGTAAAGTATCTTAAATTTCTTAAGCTGGCATAATACTGTGAGATGTTAGTAGGATTGTAGTTAAAAGTATTGATGATAACAAGGGTAGCCTACCAATGATGTAATACAATTTAATTTCTGAGTTTTTGTTTTATGACATTGCATACTCTTAGTTAGATTGGTATATTAAATTAGCCACAAAATTTACTAGGTTATTTTGTTAATTCTGATCTATGTTGGAATCGTGATGAGGAGTTATTAATAATTATTAATGTTGATGTTGCCTTTTTTTTTGTAAGAAAGAGAAATTTCTAATGAGTATATTTTTTTGTAAACTTATTATGAAGTTCTATTACTTGATTTGAATATTTGATTTGCTTTTTTCATTATTATGTACACTTTTATTAGATGTATTTTTAATATGAGTTGAGATCACAGACCCAAACAAACACTTAGGTATGTCAATTGACCTGATAGACTCTCAAATGTTAGTTAACTAATTCTATTGTTTTCAACCTATGTGTGTGTGGAAATGTAGACCCACCTGAAGAATAAGAAGAAAAACAGAAACAATGATGAAAATACCCTCACTCCAACAGATATTTTCCATATCGCAATAAACTTAGCTCTGTCTCAAGACCTGACCCAAATGGATCCAATGATTACTACCATGAAAGAACATTCAGCCCTTCTGCCTAAGCCATTGAGGTCACTTTATTGGTCGGAGTATTTGTTGAAGAAGGAAAATGAGAAAAATTCAAAACTGAAGGGAAGGTGGGCATTGAATTCAACTGCTGTTTCAGTATTTTTGGAAAATTATTCCTATAGTATTTCTATGTTATTGCAAAATTATTCAACTACTGTTGCAAAATAAAATGTGTTTCTGACATTATTGTGCAAAGTGTATTTGTGTAGGTTTCTTAATCAAATCCATATTTTTTTGTATTTATTACATAGAAATGCCAACTGCTAAAATGTAATCTAATCAGTTTGAAATGCAGAAAAAAAAATTACCCAGTCTAAGTCTTGGCTAAGGCAGAAATTTTGATGTGGGTCCATGTCTTTTTGAGTTACAGGGTCAATAATAACATATAAGTCCCACAAAAAATGTAAACAAAAATATAATTAATATTATGATTCATCCCATTATTTACTGCTGAGTGATTTAACCCATTTATTTTGATCAGTTGTTTGCACAGAATGTCATAACAGAGAAAATCATAAAATTACTAATTGTGATGCAACATATGGACCCCACCAATACTGAATGTATAAAAAAAATAATTTGAACATCTGTTCACAAAAGATCAAGTTTTACTCACTTACATATTAATATTTTGAATGTTTTAGTTTTTTTTCATGAATCAGCTTCTATACATGCTGCTTTTAGTTAACAGATGTTTTTTTATAATCCTGTATAGTAGGAATCGGGACATCAGAGAACTGTTTCGAAAAGGACTAGCAAGGGCTGTAAAAGAACAAGGAGTGGAACGTGCTACTCGAGGTTCACAATGGAAGCAGATTGATCAGGCAGTGATCAACGTAACTAAAAACTTTGATATGAGTTATTTATGATATCTGTTATCTTAAATAAATAAACATTATGTCTTTCTATCTGTGTTCAATAACACTGCTGTAAGTATGTTAATTTTGAGCTTATTAAGAAAAAATTGGAAGTGTATAGAAAGATAAATCTTCTGAAACAGGTAATGTTTACCCAAAGGTTTTGAAGGAGGATAAGGATTGGATATGTCAGCCATTTGCTATTATTTTTTCAATTCCTTGAATAATGGGCAGGTGCCAGATGATTGGAAGCTAGCTAATGTTACTTCAATTTTAGGGATGTGATAAAAATTGTCCCAGTAATTATAACCTATTAGTATTGTATCAGTGGTGGGAGAAGTTTTTGAAAGCCTGATAAAAGATGCTTTGCTTTTTATGTTAATAAGGGTATAGGTGTGGATTTAGTGTATATGGATTTTTAGAAAGCATTTGACCAAGTGCCACATAAAAGGCTTGTTTAAAAAGTTATCTCTGTAGGCATGGGGGATAGGTTAACTCATTGGATGGAAAATTGGCTAGATGGAAGAAAGCGGAGAGTTGTTTTAAATGGAGTTCAGTCAAGCTGGATTAATGTCACAAACTGAGTACCTCAGGGCTCAGTTTTTGGACTTTTGCTCTTTTTGATTTACATCACTGACATAGATGAAGGAATGATCAATAAATTATTTAAATTTGCTGATGTTATTAAAGTTTGTGGTGTTGCTGGTTGTGAGGAGGATGTTGCTGCTTTACAAATGGTTTAGATTATTTGGTGACTTGGGAAAATAAACTGCAGATGGCTGTTATATAATCTCTTTGTATAGGTCATTGATTGGGCCACATTTGGAATACTGTGTTCAGTCTTGGGCTCCTTACCTTAAAATAGGACATTGAATTGTTGGAAAGGATTGAGAGGAGGGCTAATAAGATGATACCTTGGATGGAAGGCTGTTATACAAGGATAGGTTAAGATCTCTGAAACTGTTTTCTCTGGAAAAAAAAGAGTTAGAGTGGATCTGATTGAGATGTTTAAGATTGTTAAGGAAATTTATGATGTTGATGCATCATCTTTTCAATACTGGCTTCAAACTACCATGTTTTATGCATAGCTGTCATGTTGTGAAACACTGGCTTCAAACTATTATGTTATATACCTAGCTGTCATATTGCATTATACTGGCTTCAAATTGCCATGTTATAGATATAGCTTTCTTGTTGAAGTACTGACCCCAAATTCCTATTTTATATACCTAGCCTTCCTATTGCAGTACTGGCTTCAAACTGCCTTGCTATATGTGTAGCCTTTCCCTTGCAGTACTGGTTTCAAAGTCCATGTTACATGCATAGCCTTTCTGTTGTACTGGTTTCTAAGCCATGTTATATGCACAGCCTTCCAGTTGCACTGCCAATTTCAGATCACTTTATTATAGGCCTATTTCTCCCATTGTAGGACTGGTATGACTTTTCTAGTTGTAAAACAATTTGAAGACTTTTAATTATTTTTGGTGTTCACGTAAAAAAAAATGTTTTAAATTGAGAATATTTATTTGTGTGAGTTTTAATTATGATACTAATTAACAATAATGTAACCACTGTTTTGAAAAAATTTTGCATGTCTCATGCATGCTTTTGTTCTGTATAGGCCTACAAACTCACACCTACTTTGAAATGTTTCGGTAAAGATGAGCAGTTGACTGAAACATCACAAGTGTTAAATGTGGTACAAGTACACAGTAAAAACTTCCAACCTTCTCTGGTGTACTGGGCTTGTGGTTTACAGCAGGTGTATCTGAAGAATAAAACAGTTGATCATGGTAGGTGCTGTTTGCATGCCAACTATACTAGGCCCACATCTCAGAAGCCACATATAAATTATCTTATTTTCAAATGTGGAATGATGAATTTCTCACTGACTCATTATAGAATTCACACTTGTGTTGTTTCATGTTGTGTTGTTTTGAAATTATTTAGGAGTTAATTTGTACTTTCTATTTCATGTTGTGTTGTTATTAAATGATGTAGGATAATTTGTGTTAGCTGTTTCATCTTATATTGTTTTAAAATAATATAGGAGTTAATTTGTGCTAACTGTTTATGTTGCATTTTGAATTGATCCAGCAGTTATACTACTTTTTATGTTGTGCTGTTTTAAAATAATTTAGAAGTTTATTTGTGGTAACTTTGTCATAGTTTGTTATTTCAAAATGACTTAGAAGTTAATTTATGCTAGTTGTTTTATGTTGCAATTTGAATTGATGTAGGTGTTATACTAGTTTTTATGTTGTGCTGTTTTGAAATAATTGAGGGGTAAATATTTTCTGAATTTTTCATCTAATCTTGTTGGATATACGAGACTGTTTAGTTTAAGTTATATAGTTTATTCAGTAATTTAATATTTAATGATTATTCAGTTTTCATAACAAGAGTATTAAAAGTTAATTATTTTAGAAGTGTTAGTTGTGACAAGTTTTGTTATGTAACTCGGTATGAGTCATACATTATGTATACACTTTAATTGTTATACTAGGCTTTTGTAATAATGTTGATGTCATCTTGAAGCTTCTAAGTTTTTTTTTGTTGTGTGTAATATTGTTATCACTAGAGGGCTAGATATTTCTAGATTTTTTTATTGCATGTTATAAATATGTGCAGATACAGAGAAGAAGTTAAGAGAAAGCAAGTTAATTGAGAGATAATTTGACAGATCTACACTGAGTGATTTGGCAGTTTAGCTGTGATGGGCAATTTCTATAGGAGTTATTTAAGAAATTAAGTCAGAAAAAAGTTAAGTTAGTAAAAATGAAGTTAGATTGCGTGATTGTTAGTTTAGCCATAAAGGGTGGTATCTAAAGTGAGTTTCACAGTTTAATATAGAAAAAAGAGAATAATTTGTCTTGCCAAAGGGTGTTCTAAAGTAATTGAACCCATCTGTGTGGACTTTGAGGAAAAGGAGACAATTATTTAAAGTTCTGGATACAACTGTGGTAACCCACAGGATAACATAAGTGAATCTATTGCAGATTTTGCAGTAAGAAACAGAGTAGAGAAATATAATTCATTGTATCAATTTTCTAAAGTAATTGAACTAGCGTGTAAGGACATTTTTGAAGAAAAGAGAATTATTTAAAGCTTTAGATACCACTTTGATAACCGGTAGTGAAACTAATTTTTGTACATACATTTGACTGGCTTTGAATATATTATTTTAAAACAAGTAGATTGTGTGCTGTCCATTTATTGTTCGAATTTATTGCCAGATAAGGAAATTTATAATGTTGATGCATCATCTCTTCAATACTTATTCATGAGAATGGTAAGACTAGGGGACAAAACCATAGACACCTACTGTAAAAGAATCCCAGCACGTGTTTAAAACTTGGCAAGTCTAATTCTGAAATGGTACTAGCTCCATTCACTCGCTCAAAGCTATCTTGATTTGCCCTCTAAGCATTGCTATAATTTTCAATAGTGCACCAGTCTATTATACCCTTTCATTTTTGTGCTATTGCAGCAACATGTGCTGATCATGTGACTACCCTCTACCAATCATAATTCACCATCTATACTAGTGCAGGTAGCTCTCTCTACCATTGCAGCACAATCCACACTTTCTCAATTGGCATTCTAGTGTCTAGATGTGGGTTTTTACTCGTTCTCCATGTGACTACAAAGTTTTGATTGTGCTTGATCACAAATTTATATATTTCAACTTCAAGTTTCGACTTTTTGCGTTTAATTTTCATTGCATCAATTTGTTTGTTTTAGAAATGTTGCTGTTTTCTGAATTCTACTTTGTTCATATGAATTCGAGATTTATTATAGTAGATGATGAAATTCTTGCCATAAGTAGACAATAGTTCTGACACTTGTCCTAGAGCTCAGGGTCAACGATGTCTGTTGGGGAAGCACAGGCTTTAGTTCACAGGGAGTTTGTGTCTTACGTTCGGCCAACAATTTTTTATTTCAAGTTACGTTTTTTTGTGTGCAGAGGGATATAACTACTGTATGGAAATTGTCTTTCTATGGCACTTTCTAACTGATACTGTGCCTCCATGTAATCTGCTGAGTTTGGTATTGTTCTTTTTTGCAGGAGATCTGTGGTAAGTTTTTCTCACTCCCTGTAGGTATACCCATGTTCAGTGAGTTTATGTGAGCTAGTGTGGTTGAACCTAATTTCTACACTATTTAGGTAATTCATATCTTTTCTGCAAAGTGTTGAGTAAGTTAGATTTTTATACTTCTTTTACCATCTAGATTACTATAGTTTAAATTTGCATTTGGAGTTTGATTATTTCTTCTTCTTACTTCTTTTCTCTGTTCATTTTATTTAGTTTGTAAGTTCCATTTTGTTTACTACTAGTCACATCTCATTGGGGATTAGTTTTGAGTCAAACTTTGTTATTGTTAATTGGGTGCCTTTTTATTTTGATATTCTTCAAGCTAGGTTTTAATTTTGTGTCCTTTGTCTTATATATTCTTTGAGCAGACTTATAAGTTATATATTTAACTCTTTCAACAAGGGCTCAGTCCCTGGGATCAACCTCGTAACCATCTTGTGCTTGTTATAGTTTTCATGCTGTAACTTTTAAACTAGTAAGTGTATGTTAATGAAATCTGACAGATTATCAGTAAACATTACAATTCTTTCATGCACAAAATATCTAATTTTTTATTACGGTTTGTTAAGCAATGTTTTCCTCATGCCTTTTTTATTTTCACATGTTGCCTATCCAACATGTAAAGTAATTTTAATTTTAAGATTAAAAATACTTTTATGCATCAAAAAATTTTCAAGTTTCACATGCAGAATCTTTATAACGTTTAAAAATAACAGATAAAATATAAAGTTTTTTCTTAAGAAACGTTTGATAACTATCACAATACAGAAGCTACAATGACGCGACATGTGCACTCATCTTACTACATCCAATAACATAAAACTGACCTTTGGTCTGTACAAAGTAACTTGTCTTGGCTGTGATTTAGTGGACTAGTACTTTGTAAAATACAGCCTTATTTCATTTATTATAATTATATATATGTATATAAATTATTACCATTTAGAAATAAGATCTTAAATTTATTTTTCTTAAAATATAGAACTGTAAATAAAGAAGTAAAGCAAACAGTTATCTCTTCTAGTTATGACCTTTGTACTTATTTGCTGCTTGACGTATGTTGCTAAGCCTTTTAAAATTTCGCATGTGGAGGATATGAAACAAAATAATTTTTTTTAGTTTTTGTATATACAGTTGAATAACAAAAAAATCATAAATTACTATATCGATACATATAGTTCTAATATAATTTATCAAACTTAGTAACTAAGATGTATTTGGGTGTAAAAAAATATGAAATTTCTAGCAGACTAAAGACTCAACCTAACTCCTTGAAATCTTGTTTTGAAAGAATGAGATGGCATCGTAACACTTGAAAATGGCTGAGAAAGACACTAGGGGAACATTCTGAGCTTTCGATTAGTTATTCATATGTAATATACAGAAGTAAGTGTATATAAGGGAGTGTTTCCAAAAATGGAAAGAGGTGAGCAGGGCCACTATGTTTGATTCAGTACATGAGTGATATCTCAGCAAATAGAAAAGATAGGAGGTTTTTATTTTATATTCTATCTTGTTAATATCGTTAATTTGAGTTCCTAATTCGTAAGGAACTGTAGACTTTGTATTTTGTCATCACAAACGTCTAATTTGAGCCAGTGCTGCATTCAACATACCACGTGACACACTTGTTGATCTTACAGACTTATGCAAGGCATTTCCACTTGTTTTTTTTTTTGCCTGGACTACACCTGACATAATATGCCATTTCATAAGGTGCTTCTTCTGGATGTTTTTTGCCCAGGTGGACTGCACTTGGCTTATTCACATATGGTCCTTTAGCCCTAGCCATGTATTCTTATATCTGATTACAGGCACCTTCTTGAAATCCAACTATCATTGTGTCACGTGCTCATGCTTGTTACATATATGGACGTCTCATGTTCTACCAGTTGTCTATGGGAAGAATCTGTCTTATGTAACATGGTGCCTGTCTATTAAGTTTTGCCCTATGTGTCTTACTTTGTTCATTATTGGGCAAAGAACATGCCTGTTGCAGAAGTAGTGATATACCCCACAGGTGTGCCTCCTTTTATAATTGTGGCAGTAATTCTGTCCTTGTTTGATTACTTTTGTGGCTTCACTGGCCCATCCACTTTTGCAATGTGGGATTCTGGCATTGCGTGAGAAAAGGTAATACTGTTTTGAAAGTTAACATTTTCTGACACTGAAAATGTATTTCTAATAGGTACATACCTCTGCTCACCCACTTCCCATCCTTATTCCCCCTGATTTTTCCAGTGTTTCTGTTTTGTATCTGCCAATTCTCGAAAGTGAGGATTGTTCTGCACTGGTAGAGGGAGCTACCTGTGTTAGTATAGATGGCTCAGTATGATTAGTAGAGGGTAGTCACATGATCAGCACATGTTGCTGCAATGGCACAAAAATGAAGGGGTATAATAGACAGGTGCAATTTTGAAAATTTTAGCAATGCTTAGAGGGCAAATCAAGGTCAAGGTAAGTACCTATCGAAAATACATTTTTAGTGTTAGAAAATATTAACTTCTTATCCCTTCGGTTACTGTGTTCTTAAATTGCAAGGACTAATGTAACTCACATTATATTTCATTCCAGAAACAAAACTAGTAGATGAAATTGTTTGACACTTGAAAGGAACATGTAGTTTCAGAAAAATAAGATATTTAATTTTTTTTCCACTAAAATTTCATTATTTGTCATAGCCATTTGCACTCAGGCTTTGAATAGTTCAAGTGCAATGTGATTTTCATATTAAGTATAAAAAACTTTTTTTTATTTTACAGTTTTCAAATTTCATTTGCATAATCTCTAGGTAAATATTTATATTTTATTTTTCATTTTCTCTATCATACCACTAATTGTAGCTATTATCGTCAACATAGAATGGAATAAAATGTTTAATATTAAGTAATAGAAATATGTACATACATTTTAACTCTTTGTCAAATAACTTTAAAATATTGTTACGTCTCTAGTCATTTGTTAATTTCCCGTAAAAATTATTTCCGAAGAATTTCAGTGATACAAGTCTTTTCTTAAATACAACTAGTTTATTCTTTCTCAATACAACTTTGCAATACACTTAAATTCCACAGTCACTTTAATTTAAACACATGCTATAATTCACAACGATTCACGCACTTTACTTACGACTTGACTCAATTATCTGTCTCTATCTTTTCATATCTGCAATTGTCTATACCATCACTTCTATTCTCCACTTTATTTGCTGGGCTTATATATATACAAAAATAGAGGGCATCTGGCAAACACTCGAGCCTTCATGATCCTTTTAGAAACTCATCATGTGTTACCAGCATCACGTGACTTCTGCTGTCGTAACAATATCATCTTTCAATTATATTCGTCATTTCAGGTCTTTAGCTTTTCACTTACAGTTTATTTTTATGTAACTGTCAACCTCTAATACTCACGAACGAGTGGAAAGTAAGTCTAGGGCAAAGCCTTGATGTGGTGCCTAGGGGGCACCCACACACACACACATACACAAAAACGAATTTTGCATTTTTAGAACCTAAATCGAAGGATCTGGTTAAAAAAGTTAATAGAAGGCTTGTTAATACAAACAATTTGTATTTGTCATGTAAATTTTAATAATTTTTAACAGAGTGTTAAAAATTCACATTTACAGGTTTATTCAAGGTCACAATAAAGGTCACAAAAATTCTAAATTAATACAAGTATGTCAAGCTTAAAATTAGAACATTTTCAGAGAATATACTTGACCTACAAGACATTTTTCCAAGAAATTATTTTTCCCTTGTGATGGTTTCCTATAATCACACATTCAGAACTCATTCAAATTTTTTCAACATCACGCAGTCCTTGGTGATTGCAGCTGGCTGAACAGTTACACACTGTGCATTCAAAATAATTCTTACTGGATGATTCATTTCTGGCATGATGCATGAGTACTTCTTTGTCCATTCTGGATTGAACTTAGTATTATGCTTTGGAGCAGCTTTAAATTTTGTCAGTTTGTATTATTTTGATGTTGATGGACTGTCAGATACTGAAACACTTTCATTCATCTTGTTTACTAGATTTGCAACAAATGACATGCACTTTATTGTATGTGATAGCTCATTTCACTGGTTATCAGGCCAACAAAGAACCAATCACTCGATGTGATACATACACACTGCAACTATTTTAGACTGGTTCTATCTTCATTACCCACTGTGCACATGTTGATGTAAAGGACTAGAACTGCATTAACAGTTTTGCAAAGAGAATTACATATGTAGTTAAACATTTAATTTAAATTAAACACTAATAATCCAAAGATTTTTAGCAAATAGGCGTGAGAGAGCGTAATCTGTGTTCAACATGCATGAGTCCCAAGCAACATGCGTGAGAGTTGACTGGTATACTTTTAATGTTTTATTTTCGTTTCCTGTCCTTTATCATTTATTATTCATTTCGACACAGAATCAAGGAGAAGTTTGTGTATATTAAAAAAATTATTAAACCTTTAAAATGTGCATTTTAAAACATAAATAATACATGATTAACAAAAAATATAAAAATAAAACCTAATACACTTTAACTGTATCTAAGTATTATGTATCTAAGTGAGAAACAACACTACGTGCTAGTTAGGACAAAATGAGCAAACAATGTTTCAGCTGTTTGATTTACTTGGTAATGAATACTGCACTCCAGTTTTAAAATAACTATTGGAAGATTGTAGTTCAAAATTAACTCTTTCTATTGGTTATAAAAATGTATGTCAAATAAGTACATGTGACTTGTAAATCTCGAAATCATGTCTAAGTATTTGAAGGTGGGCATGGTTAGTGTCACTGAGTGGTAATACTTATTTCTTGTGTTCTATGAATTGAATAGAAAGAACTTGAAACTTGTATGGGTAAATAGCACTGTATGCATAGTTTTGTGTCTAGACATACATTTACACCATAGATTTACTATTATTCAAGAAATAGAAACAAAAAGTCAAGATCTGTGAACATTTGTGCATCATTTGACAACAAAACTTAAACTTAAATATTTTTATAAAGGTTTATTTTGAAATCAGGAATTAAAACTTAGATAATAAAAAACTTCTAATTATAATGTACATGATAATGCTAATTTCATTAAAATACATTGATAGTAAAGTTGTTTAATCAAATTTTAAATGTAACTCAGTAAAACCTTGTGACATATGCAGAAAGGAATTTAAAAAGTACATGGTAGTCTAAGGGTTAAATAATATTTCTTCTCTAGATTACTTGCAGTTTTTAAGAGTGAGCTGATAAGACAGAATTAATCATTATGTTAAACAGCAGTTTGAAAATGGTTTCTCCTCTTATTATTACAGATGATGAAATTGTTGAGGTTGCAATGTTACTGGACATGCTTCAACGCCACTGTATGCCAACACAGTCTCAGATCTTTGCTGTTGGCTGTAGAATATCAGATACCTTGGCAAAAGAAGATAAAGAATTTTTTAATCACTTGAATGAAAATATTGAAAAGAATGTTACTGGTAATTTTCAGGTTAGTGTGAAAATAGAATTTGGAACTTTGTAAGAAATTTTTAAAATCACTATTTTTATAGTAAAATTCAGTGTAGCATTTTTATAAACTTATTAATTGCAAATTAAAATTAGTGTTTTTCACACTATTTTATGTCTATCGAGATTACTGTTCATCACTGTATTGTTGTGTCTTATTTGTTGTTGTTATATTTTAATCAAGACTGCTGTTCATCATTACTGTTGTCTTTTGTTTGGTGATTTTATATTTATCAAGATATCTGTTCATCAGTATTGTTGTCATTTTGTTTTAGTGTAGCATGTTTATCAAGATTACTGTTAATTAGTATTGCTGTGTCTTTTGTTTGGTGATTTTATTTTAATCAAGATCGCTGTTCATCAGTATTGTTGTGTCCTTTGGTGATTATATTTTAATCAAGATATCTGTTCATCAGTATTGTTTTGTTTGGTGATTTTTATGTTTAATTACATGATTGTGATATTTGCTGTTTTTTAACAACATGATTATTTGTAATCTAGAATTTAGAAAAAAGTTGATTAATGTTGGCTTGTTTGTAGTAATTTTAACATAGTTAAACAATGTTTAATCATGTAGCTATGTTTGTGGTGATGTCACTATATCTGCACAATGTATAATCATGTAGATATATTTGTAGTTGTTCTACTATATTTGCACAATGTTTAATGATGTTTGTGGTCATGATAATATACCAACTTTCTTTTAAGTTACCTTATGTTTAGTCAAAGTTTAATCACATGTTGTAGGCACAGGGCTATAATTAGTTGGTGTTGAAGTCACATGACTGTGTTTTTAGTTAGGGTTCAATCAAATGTTGTAAGCACAGAGCTGTAAGCAATTGGTGTTAAAGTCACCTGACTGTATTTTTAGCCAGTGTTTAATTACATTATTACTATTTTCTAAAATAGTTGCATCACACTAATAATCAGTTCAACTTTATTTATATTAGGAGTTCCCTCTTGAGAGTTTGAATGTGAACAAAAACAAAAGTCAGTCAGTAAAAGAAACTGCTTTACATAAAGGTAAAGGTCTTTCCCCTCAACAGAACAAACTCTTTGTGGATCCAGAAATGTTTCTTCACAAGTGGATTGTTGAGGTCTGTTTTAAGAGTGATTGTTATTTCTTTACATCAAAGATAATGGTTGTCTAGAGATTTGGTGTGTATTTCACATATACGAGACCATTTTTAATTTTCCTAAGAACATGTCATATTCTGGTAAACAGTGAAAAATGTTATGTCAAAATGAGAACATTAAGATATGAAATAGTTATTGAAATATGTTCTTTAACACAAGATATCCTCCTGAACAAGAGGTGCTTTTGTGGCAAGGATCGAACGTAAAAATCTGGGAATAATCCAATATTGGTAAAACTTATATAAGATGTAGCATACGATGATTACAAATAAAACCAAAAATTGACCGAATTATGACTGGCCACATCATCAGTACAAACCCCATAGTTAATGACAGTACTTATTGAATAGTCTTTTTTTTTCACTCATTATTGTATCCATTTGTGAGACCAAAGCCCAATGGGTTTTAAGCAGATAGCTCCAATCCCTGCTGACCATGACTGGAATTTTGCTCCTCTTCAGCATATCATCATCAATCACCATTATTCCTTCAATTACCTATATGTGTAGGGCTCCGAGATTTTGATTTGCAACCTGTGCAGCCATTGTGGATGCAAGCACGATGAACTTTTTAACAGCCTTTGTTGAGGCAAAACCACCTACAAAGCCTAAAGATCCTGTGGCAGCACTCAAAAATAGGTTTGGTGCTAACAAGAATAGTAGTGATAGTGGTAATAGCCTTCTGCCAGATCAGAAGGTTAAGAACAAGGTCTTTTACCTCAAACAAACAATGAAGTAAGGTTGCATAATTTGATTTGAGAATCAGAGAGTGTGCTAGCTCTCTAAGAAAGACAAAAGTCATCTGGATTTTCTTCACTACAGGTCATCATGAGCTAGATATGAAAAGCTACCTGGCATAATCTCTCTATTTCTGGTGTATATGCAGCTTTTCATCTATCCAAAGCATCCCAAAGTCAAAAACCAGTGAATAGCCAAAACCGAGATTTATTATTTTCAGTCATCATTATATTTTTTAACAGGGCTAGTGCCTACCTAGTTCTAGCAGTAACTATAATTGTATCATCATTTGATAGAGCAAGATAGTCTTCACTATCGTTGACTACCTATTTCATAGCCCGGTATGGCCAGGTGGTTAGGATGCTCGACTCGCAATCTGCGGGTCGTGGGTTCGCATCCCCATCCCACCAAACATGCTCGCCCTTTCAGCCGTGGGGGCGTTATAATGTGACAGTCAATCCCACTATTCCTTGGTAAAAGAGTAGCCCAAGAGTTGGCGGTGGGTGGTGATGACTAGCTGCCTTCCCTCTAGTTTTACACTGCTAAATTAGGGACGGCTAGCGCAGATAGCCCTCGTGTAGCTTTGCGCGAAATTCAAAACAAACAAACAAACAAACCTATTTCATTAATATTCTTTGCAAAATTTATAAAGCTTTAGAATACACTCTCTCATCTGATAACCCACATACGTCATCTTATAAAAAAAAAGTAGACAAGTATTAGGAAAAAAATTTATTGCTAAATATAAAGGCTATGTAGGACTAGGTACTGAACTTGAAAAAAGGAACCAAACAAGATAAGGATGGAAGTAGAGATATCACTTGATCTGAATGATTACATAGCAGACTAAGCCATCTCCACTTAACATGGAGAATAACATCCCTACATTACTGGCTTCCCCACTGGCAAAACAAATAGAACCAGAATTTCCAAATGTAAAATGTTACTCTGTTGTAAACTAGTCATAAAAGTAGTATACTAAAGTTAACTAAAGAAAAGGTATATTGATGAAAGCTGAGATTCTATTCAAGTACCAAGCTGTCGATATACAAAGTGGAGAAGCCAGTAATATAGGGATTTTATACTCCATGTAAAGTTGAGACAGCTTAGTCTGCTATGTGATCATTAGCCAGATCAAGTAATATGTCCACTTCCATCCCTATCTTATTTGGTTCCTTCTTTGAAGACCAACAGCCAGCCCTACATAACTTTTTTTTATTTAGCAATACCGTTTTTTGCCTAATACTTGTCAAAAGAGAAATAATACATGTGCGTGATTGCTGCTAATAAGGTGGTGTGGCAATTCTGAACCTGTTTTTGTTTGCTCATAACTCCAGACTGAAATACATTACCATAATATGGATTACATATTTGGATACAACAGATTCTGGGCTTTCTAGCAATTTATGCAGCACCTCACAGAAATAATCAACAAAGTTTATTGTTCCTTGCCCTTCCACCCAAAAACACTACTTCAACTCTGGTTGAGGGAGAGATCCTGTATTAAATAAATTACAAAAAATATCATTGTAACCAGAGGCAATATTCTGCCAATATATGTATATAAATGTGTGTGTGTGAGTCAGTGAATAAACAACTGAAGATATGACCTTGGTACTTTCATAACTAGTTAGGTCCTGGCAACAAATGACAAACAATTGTACTTTGTTTTCAAGTTGAGCCTAACTTTAAATATTTAAAATTTAGCTACTAATTTTTATACAAATACTGTAGATAAATTGAGCATATAATCTTTATCATTATGTATGAGATAAGTCAGTAGCACATGTGGTGCAGAATTTTTCTACTTTTCAGGGTTTTATGAGTATTCTTCGTCCAGTGGCAGTGCTATTTATCTGGGATCAGTTGTTCATGCAGAAGTGGAGTTCTACAGCTCTGTGCAATGCTTGTCTAGCTTTGATGGGTCTTTTAAAACCATGGTTCATGTTAGCCCATGATTATCCAAGCATTAAAAAGGTTTGTTGTGTTTCTAATTAATATTTTACAAAACATCTTTGTGTGTCTTTTTAGTATAGACAAATAGTGGTTGTATTCTATATATTACAAATAGTAGGTGACATCTATGTAGTACAGATAGTGGGCAATTCCTATGTACTACAAAGAGTGGGTGACTCCTGTGTATTACAGATAGTGGGTGACTTCTGTGTACTACAAATGGTGAATGGCTTCTATGTACTATGGATAGTGGGTGATGTCTGTGTATTAAAAATAGTGGGTGACCTCTAAGTATTACAAGTATTGGGTGGCTTCTCTGTATTACAAATAAAATGGGTGACTTCTCTGTACTACAGATAGTGGGTGACTTCTGTGTATTACAGATAGTGGGTGACTTCTGTGTACTACACTTTGTAGGTGACATCTGTGTACCACACATAGTGGGTGACTTATGTGTATTGCAGACAGTGAGTGGCTTCTGTGTATTACAGATAGAGAGTGATTTCTATGTATTACATATAGTGAACGATTTCTGTTGCTACAAATAGTGAACAATTTCTGTGTACTACATATAGTGGATGACTTCTGTGTACTACAAATATTGGATAACTTCTTTGTACTAGAAATAGTAGGTGACTGTGTATTACAAATAGTGGGTGACTTCTGCATTGTACAGATAGTGGGTGACCACCAAGTATTACAAGTAGTGGGGGATTTCTTGGTACCACAAATAGTGGATGAATTCAGTGCATTACAAGTAGTGACTTCTGTGTATTATAAATAATGGTGACTTCTGTGTACTAAAATAGTGGGTGATGTCTGTATATTATAGGTAGTGAGTGGCCTTTATAAATTACAAATAGTGGTTGTCTTCTCTGTATTATGGATAGTGACTGGCTTCTGTGTATTACAGACAGTAGTTGACTTCTGTGTATTACAGACAGTGGGTGACTTCTGTATATTACAGAAAGCTGGTGACTTCTGTGTATTACAGATAGTGGGTGAGTTAAGTGTACTGCAAATAGTGTGTGACTTTTCTGTACTACAAACGTGGGTGACCACAGATAGTGGGTGAGTTAAGTGTACTGCAAATAGTGGGTGACTTTTCTGTACTACAAACGTGGGTGACCTATATTATTAGAGAGGTTGGCCAAAATCTGTTTACTACAGATAGTGTTTAACTGCTATCTACTACAAATAGGTGTGACTTTTGTTTATTACAAATAGTGGATGACTCCTGTTCTTTAAATAGTGAGTGACCTGTGTATATTAGAAATAATGGGTGACTTGTTTGTACTATAAATATTGATGACCTCCATGTATTATAGATAGTGACTGACTTCTGTATACTAAAGATTGTGGTTAACTTCTCTGTTATACAAGTAGTGGGTTACTTCTATATTATACAAATAGTGACTGATTTTTGGTACTACAAATAGATGTTTGGTGACTTTGTGTGTACTACAAACAGTGAGTAACTTTTGTGTACTATAAAATGTTGTTGACTGCTTTGTGCTACAAATATTGTGTGACTGCTGTGTATTATAAATAGTGGGTGACTTCTATGTACTAAAAATAGTGAGTGACCTGTTTGTAATACAATTAGTGGGTGACCTCTATGTATTACAGATAGTAGCTGATTTCTGTGTATTTCAGATAGTGGCTTAATTATGTGTACTATAGATAGTGGTTGACATCTTTGTACTACAAATAGTGGATGATTTCTGTGTTCTACAAATAGTGGGTGAAGTCTGTGTATTAAAAGTAGTAGGTGACTTCTCTGTATTGCAGATAGTGAGTAACTTTTGTGCACCATAAACAGTGGGTGACATCTGTGTACTGCAAACAGTGGGTGACTTTTGTTTATTACAGATAGTGAATGATTTCTGGTACTACAAATAGAGGGTGGCTTCTTTGTACTACAATTGTGGGTGACTCCTGTTCAACAAATAGTTGGTGACTTCTGTATACTATAAATAGTGGGTTATTTCTGTGTTTTAAAAATAGTGGGTGACCTCCAAGTATTACAAGAAGCAAGTGACTTCTATGTACTACATATATAGTGGATGGCCTCTGTATACTACAAATAGTGGCTGACTTCTGTGTATTACAGATAGTAGTTCTGTATTTTACAAATAGTTTATGACTTCTGTGTACTGAATATACTTAATGACTTCTGTATACTACAAATAGTGGGTAATTTCTTTACTACAACTTGTTGTTGGCTTCTCTGTGCTACAAATAGTGGGTGACTTGTGTGTATTACAGATAGTGGCTGACTTGTGTGTACTCATGTATAGTGGCCATTTTTGGTGCTAAAGTACCAGATTTGGTACTTTTAACTACCTCAAGTACATTTGGTATGACTTTCAATAAAACGATAAATATCTGGTAGTAAATGGGAGTAAATCTATCTATCTATTCAGTGATATTCACTAGTCATCTCTATGCAGTTAAAATTTCAAGTTTACAAAAATTCTCTATTGCTATGTCATTGCTTAATCCCTGTTTTACCATGCCTCATTTATATATCACATATTACTTGGAATTTATTGCTTTAGTCTGCATCAACAGCATTCCACTTCTTCCTAGCAACTTCCTGTTCACAGCTTGAGATATTTGCAGCTTTACCGAATGCCTTGAGGTTATACATTCATTAGGCATATTTATTTCATACTCCAGTCAAGTCAATCACTCTACAGATTGTGAGACAGTACTATAACTTTTACACCCTGATTGTAAATCTTAATCAAGCTACTTGATGTTTATACCACTAAGTTAAAACCTACTTCATTCACGAAATAACCAACCATAATTCCGAATAGAAACAACTATTTCTGAGCACCCCTGAATCCCTGATTATCTTTCAGGCCTCAAGGCTGAAAGATATAAAAACAAAATTACTGCTAAGGATAAGATCGGAATAGAAGTCATGCAGTTCAATGCCCCTTGCTTCTTGATGCTGCACCAGACAGTATTTCTGAGATGTTAATATACAGTGTATGTCATCAGATGTAAAGAAATAAGTGAAAAAAGGAATTTAGAAACAAATCTGATGACTCAGATAAAGATGATTGTTGTAGTGGTACGGAGATATTACGTAAAAGGTGAACAATGAGCATAGATTTCAAGTGAAGTGGTTACAACACAACAGATTTTCATCCTGGGTATGTAAAAGTAAGAATATTGAGAATAAAGCATTTTGCACTGTGTGTGACTGAAATAGCAGGAAGTGTAACACTACTTGAAAGACATAGAAGAACTGAAAAACATTTGAAGAAATTAAGTACAAGAAATCAGTCCATAAAAAGTTACAACAGTTTATATTGATTATATTACATGAAAATAGTTTATTTTTTTGCACATTTGTCTATGAATTGTATTTCTTGTTTACTTAGGTGTTCTTGGAAGAGCCAAGTAAGCTGTACACCTTAGATATTCGGAATGCTTGGAAACACCTTAAAGATGGAGGAGCTTTCAGAGACATTCCTTTAATGAATAGAAATTTTCAGGTACCTGAGCCATCAAAATGTGAACCAGAATCTTCACCTCCTTTGCCATTACCAATTCCTGTGCCAGTACCACTTCCCGATACAGAACCTGGGTCAGATCCAGAAGAAACACCCCCTATATCAGCAGCAGTTCCTGCACCCCTTCCTGAGGCAGAACATGTGTTAGAACCTGAAGAAACACCTACTGTGCCAGCACCAGTTTCTACACCCATTCCCAAGGCAGAACCTATACTGGAACCATCAACTCAGATTGATGAACCAGAAACAGACTACAAACAAGGAGAATCGAAAGATGAAGAATTTCACGAACCAGTAGAAAAGAGTATACCCATGTCACCACAAAAACTAATAAATTCTCCTACTCCAGCCTTTCCTAATATTCCAGCTCCGGAACCATCCTCTCTGTGTGTTGAAGAACCAGAACAAGATTCTCCTCAGTTATCACCACCCCCTGTAGAAGAAAGAAATAATGACTTGCATGAGCTATGGGTGCCTTATGACAAAGAAACTAAACATACTCTTCCTAAAAAATCTAGGCTGAATATTCCTTTCGACCTATACATTGATGGAGTAAGATTTATTCCGGACAATGCAACAATTGTTAAGGTGGGTAATATTTTTTCATATGTTTGTCAGATTGCATTGAAAATTTTTTAAACTTTTGGCATATTTTTTCTATTATCATTAATTTGCTAATGTAGAAGTGTAAGTGATCTGTTCTCAAAAGATTTAGTACACTGTATTTAAAAACGAATATACTGAGTATATTCCCCTTTAAATTTTGGAATTGCATTAAATGTCATCAGTTTATTGGAAGGGGCTAAAGATTTTATTCTTTGGAACCAGAAGACTTGCACAAAATTACATGGATGAGTGAATTAAACACTGAATGAATTTATAACATCTGCTTGTAATGTTATCATTTTATGTGGGTTTTTAGACTAGAAAGTACACAGAGGTAAAAAATTCAGGATTTGATCCTGTTAGTATGGATAGCACACTGTGTAGCTTTGGTCTAAAAGAAACAAGCAAGTGAAGTTTTCCATAAGATAAAATTAGTCTCCCTTTAAAAATATTTTTTCGGTATAACTATACCATTTGTTCAATTAGTTTTCTCATATATTAATATTTCTCAAGGAACTTATTTTTTGATATTGATTGATTGTAGAAATTTACATGAGCAGTTATCATTACTGTTTAATGTTAAACCATTGATCCTTTAGTTGAAAAAGAAAACTGTTGATTTAACCCCTCTGTTTTCTCTGTACTTAGATAGAAACATTTTTTTTTATCCAAATACTTTTTTAATTTCCTAAGCCAATTCAAGATTTCATTATCTATTATATTTAAATGACATTTGAGCTGTAATAAAATGCAGCTATTTTGACCAAGTTTATGAGTTTTTTTACTAGGGGGTTTTTGGTGATTTTTAAATAATGAAAATTAAAAAAAAAATTCACACACTATTGGATTCCACAGACACAAATTAGTAGATTTACACTGCAAGTTCAATTATTTAATTTATAATTAATGAACAACAATTAAAATCGAACCTGGAAATCAACCTTTCCCTCCACCCTACCTTCCCATTGGAACAATGTTAACAAAATGTTAGTGATTTATCACTTTACCTAGTAACCTGATTCTGTGTGACACCCAAGTCAAGGTAAGAGAAAATGTAGTCCCAAGAAAATTGATCAATGTCAAACTCACACATATGGATAAATGAAATGAACATTTTCAGCAATCAAATGTTAGAAATGAAGTATGAGCTTACATATGTACTTATGAAAGTGAAGGAGCGATTTTGTAATGACATTGGTTGAAAACTTGAAATACTGTGATTGACAGATACATACGAGCAGTAAACTCCAACTATTCTATGTCATGTTGTGATGTAATTAATAAATTGTATCATTAAGTTCATGATATTAGTTATCCCTAGATATACAAAAGCTAAGAAAACAAGCATTTGTCTATGAATTATCAATGAAATTAGTGATAAATGTTATGACAGATTTATAATACTATATTTATTTTAATATTGAAGTTTGTTTAAATTAAATGTATATATAGAAATGTAAATAATGTATACTGTTAAATATGTAATGCAAAACACCTGCCTATTTTCTAAAGTTGTAGAAGATTCTCGAGTGTAAGAAAAAACAATGTGTGTATGTAAACACTAGTGTAGCTTTGTATTGTTACATAATCTAAATTTTCGAGAAACTCTCCACACGCCTATAAATATAACCAATGCAATGCACTGAAAAATTGTATCTATTATTGATTTGCTATAGTTGGTGTATTGTAAACTTCTGAAACTATAATTGTGATTGTTATAACGCATATTAATTGAGAAATTTCAGATGTTTGACCAGGAACATTTATAAAGTTCGAACATTACAAATCCTTTAACTTCATTGGATTGATATCAGACATTAGTACTTTTATGGAGATATTATATAACTTCAGCAATAAAAGAAACTCGACCTGTAATCGTGTTTGATCAGTGAGAATTACAGAGCTAGCTAGCTCCCTCTTAAGTGAATTGTACCTACATCAACTCAAAATTAACTTGCTCATTGTGAACCCTCGATAAGACATCAAGGAAGTGCCAGACTAGAAAGAAAACTTTATATTACTCGTAAGTTTGTAAAACTTTTGTATATAAATCATTGTTTGTAATAACTGATATTGTTTGGGCATTAAAATATATTTGTATAAAATAAAGAAAACTATGTGTATCAATCTTGTTAGCAAATATCATAAATTGAATATATATGTGTGTGTATATATATATATATATATATT